CAGGAAGGGAGTTACCTTGAGCACGTCAGCGATGCCCTGGAGTGCCTACCACCAGGCTAGGCGTAGGCACAAGGAAAATTTGCACGAAAAAGAACTCCTGTGCTTTGAATCGCTGTGGACATACCCCAGGGTTCATTGATAAATACACTGTAGAAAATTTTGTAAGAGACAATATTTTACCTTTAAAGTGGAGTCTGTAAATTATATTGTAAATGAAGTGTGAAACCATGTATGAAGTGGAAGAAAAAAATCAAGTAGTGCCTACAAAGAAAGCACTGAAACTGGCAAGGATGCTCTGTTGCGGGTAGGAATGACCGTGTACTGGCATGTTCACAACAGAGACAAATGCAGAACACAAAATATTTTTTTTTTCTTTAGGCACTGTAATTAAATTAACTCTGCTAATTGCTAGGCTGAGAATGCCTAAATGGTAAATTATTGTTGTTCAGTTGATAAGATAAACTGTCAAATGGTGGTCGATGTGTTACTTCTGACTGAATGGTTATGCCAGATGGCTTCATAACCTCAGTGTTATTTTAAGGCTGGTTTGTTTTTTCTATAAAATGTAATCATACTTTAAATGGATATTAATTCCCATAGGTTCTTTCACATCCTGTTCTTGTTACTTAAAAAATAACTCCCCTTCCAACCCCCCAAAAAAGAGGGGGTAACTCCAGGATGCTTTTAAAATACTTGAAACAAGAAAGTTAATAAGATGAATCAAGACAAATTAAATAATTACAGTACAGCTGTAAAAGTGCTCTGATAGTTGAAAGTAAAATCTTCTTATAGCAGAGATTGTTACTTGGCTGTTACTGTTTTCAGATCTATTCGTATGATTAGTCTGTGAATGTGAAATCAGAGACTTGAGAGATGATGTGGTATTTAGAAAAAAAGGAAAGAATGAAAGCTGGGTCAGTTTCTTTAAGGCACCATTCAATTACTTCTTTAGCTAATAGCCTGGAATCAAGGTTTTGATACAGATGGATGACTTTAAGGCAACCAATCTCTTTTTACTTTCCTTTGCTACATATATACCTGTGATATATATTCTTTTTCTTAGCAGTATTTCAGGGACAGTGGTATGAAATGCTCCCTTCTAGTACTCTGATTATTTACCACTTTTTACAGAAGAGGCAGTTGCTAGTTGTGCACTTGTGTGTTAAAAAGTAATTCCTTTGATATTGCAATTTGGCGTCACACTGATTTTTGTATTTGTTGCATATGCTACTGAGTTGCATGTGCTACTGAACTGCATCTGAAAGTTGTGCAAGAGTTTGGGGCTTTTTATTTATTTTATTTCTTTAATAAATCTCCAAAACTTAAGTGTTACTGTATTTACAAAATTATCCTGATGACAGAACAACTTTCTTGTCCTTGTGACTTCTTACTGAGAAGGGGACGTGGCTCTTCAACCCCGTTGTTTTGGGACTCTTTCCTGGGGGATGTGGTAGCATTCAGGTTAGTGAAGGCTCTTATTCTTCCTGACTTAATTTTCCAGATCATCTGACTACAGTTTCATATAGCTTGTTTTCTGTAGCAGTTGGTCACAAGTGGCAGTGAGGAGGTTGGTTTCTAGTTGTCAGTTTCCTGTCTGAGGTATGCCTCCTCATCCTTTCCTGCTAGTGAACGTCCTCATGACAGACATTTTCTGGGAAGAAGGAAGAGGGAAGTTTACTCAGACTTAACCTTGCTCAGAGTCTGTGATTGGTAAAGAAGGAAACCCTTCACAATGAAGTTGTCATTAATATCCTCTAGATGTTTCTTCCACGCACGATGATCGTGTCTGAAACTGAGGACAGACAGCTTACCAGCCATATACTGCAACAATCCGCAACAAAAGGCCTGTGCGGAGTCTCCTGCTCTGTTAAGAAGCGGTGAAACTTTGTCACGAAGATACATCTCAGTGAGATTGTTCTGGTGATTTGATTTACCTGGCTCTTATATTTATTTTCTAGACGATCTTAAGAGGTCCTTGAATCAGGATTCAGGAGTGAGGCTTTACCTTGATTGCAAACAGCTGGTGGTGAATGTTTCTGCCAGGGCCCACCAGAAATTCCATGAGGGAGAGCTTGGACTAGAGACCTCCTGAGGTCCTTTCCAGCCTGATCGTCCTGTGATTCTGCATACAGGGCTGAATAAAGGTAGAAGTACAGTTTTGTGAGGGCCAGCCGCTAGAGGGAGACAAGATCATGAGGAATAAACAAATATAACACGCAGGAGTGAATTACAAGTGTTTATGCTGTAATCCTGTATAGGTCTACACAACTATGTTATAAAAAACCTCATGTATGTAAATGAAAATAGAAATAGGCACTTGATAATCTGTAGGGTAGTGCCTTTAAGCACACACAACTATCCCCAGTGCAATTTGTAATGCATGAATGATGTGTTCTTCAAAACAACCTCCACCTCCTTAGATCCTGAGGAATATTTTCTTTATCAGTCAGTTGGTTACATTTAGTTTTGGTATTTTGCTTTCTCATTTGTTTGAGATGTGGGGGTTAATTTACAGCTCCATTCTTTTTTTACTTGCCCCTTTTGTATTGGGTAATGGTGCCTACTATTTTGGGAACATATTTTGATTCGTAAATCAGAAAAAGATCTTTATTCTGTCACATTTTTAATTATCATTCTCTAGTTGAATGTCATTTGCTACTTCTATTCTTGAATTATTTAAACTTTACAAATCTGCAGCCTAGAGTGACATGTTGAACAGCAAGCCACAATATTTAACATCTAAGATATAAAGATATAAATATAATTGAAATTCCTCTATACAGATTAAAATCTGATCTATTTTTAACTATACATAAGTGGTACTGTAATGCAAATAGATGTCTAGGCTTGAATTCTCCTGAGATCTGTAAAGGCTACTGTAGAACTTTAAGAAAATGTTTGCGCTCTTCTACGATATAAAAAAAGTAATAAAAGTGCAGCATATATTACCTGTAAAATATTATCACCCTGAAACCTGTGGAAGAGTATGTCATGGTAACAAAGTGTTAATGCAGTTAAGCATATTGCCATTGATTTCATTGGTTATCGGGGACTAGACAGTCAAGTTCTTGATTAAATTGTATTTTTGTGTTAAACTTATCATAAAATGAAATAGATTTTTTTTTTCCTTTCACCAGTGACTATAAAAATTAGCTTGAGTAGAACCACTTACTATCTGTATTTCTCTTTAATTATTTGGAAATTATCATTTCACACTCTAGTTGTAGTGAGAT